TTGGTCTGATCCGTGAAACCATAGATGAGGGTGTTGACTCTGGAGTAAAATCAGCTATCCATGGTGCTGCATCTCATCTAGAACAATTAGGATGCACGGTGACAGAGGTCTGACTTGAACACCTTTATTTACTGCCTAATGCAGAATTCCATGTCTATTGTTTTGTGTTTCATTTGATTTTAAACATTGCAGGTGTCCCTACCATCCTTCTCCCTTGGTTTACCAGCTTACTACATCATTGCCTCTTCTGAGTCATCTTCTAACTTGTCACGTTATGATGGTGTCAGGTGATTTGCCTTGAAAGGTTTTCCAATTTTTAAGCATGATCTGTTGATTTTGTCTACGGATAAAGCTAGTTTTCATCTTATAAGGACCAGTTTTCTATTTTTTTTAATTAAACTTTGAAGAAGTATTTTTGTATGTGTGCATGTTTTAAACATGAGTTCTTATTCTGTTTTCCACATTAATTTCCAGGTATGGAAACCAAGTTTCTGCTGATGAGCTAAATTCACTCTATGAAGATTCCCGAGCCAAAGGTTTTGGTCCTGAGGTGTGTTTTTTAATAGCTGTTTAGAAACTTGACCGAGAGAAAGGCTTGAATTAGAGTGGATCAGTCAGCAGTCTCAAAGTAAAATATATTTCATTTTTTTAGGTCAAAATGAGAATATTAATGGGAACATATGCCCTTTCAGCTGGTTACTACGATGCATATTACAAGCGTGCCCAACAGGTATCATTGTACTTAAAACATATGTATTTATCAGTTATCTTGTTTGGCCTACCCAGATAATGATGGATCACTTGCCAGGAATAGCCCTGTATTTGCATCCTCCTCTCTTCTAATTCTTTGCTTTCAGAAATCCAAATTTTTTTCTTCTAGAAAATGCTCGGCAGGAGACATGTTATATTTCCAAAAAAATATCATAGGGCCCAGTTTACTTGATATTCTTACTATCTTTTGGTCTTAGTGCTATTTCCCTGAATAAATAAATGAGCCTGCACGCCCTGCAACACCTCATTGAAATAATGAAGGAACCTTACTATATTTTATTGGAAGTTTTTCAGATCTCTTCTGAAAATATTCACAATCCTTCTAGAAACTTTAATGTTGCCCAAGAAGAAATGCATGATTCTGATACTGTTTTAGGTAAGGACCCTAATTCGGGAAAGCTTCAAGGCAGCTCTGGATGAAAATGACATTCTGATTTCACCGGCGGCTCCATCTGCTGCTTATAAGATTGGTATGATGCTTACATCCTCTATTTTCTTTTTCTTTTTCCTTTTGTCTTTATCTTTCTTGTGACTTGTGAGGTAAGGGTGATTGAAAGAATTCTGGGATGTGTTATAAATAGCTTTGTTTGATAAGAATTTTCTTATTTGTAAGCCAAGGGGCTAAAAACCATAAGCAAGAAGCTTTTGTGATCAGGTGATTGACATATACCCTAAAACTCTAGTTTTCATTGAAACTAGCCCTCTGAAGTCTTCCCTGCAGAGCTACCAATCTGTACTCCATGGTGGGTTTGGGTGAGAAAGAGTGGGTAGGGTTTTCCATTAATCGTCATCTTTCACTTTAATCAATAAAACAGCATACAGATTGGGTTCTTTTTTGGTAGATGACATTAAACAATTTGTTCTGATGGTCACAGGTGAAAAGACAAACGATCCACTGGCAATGTATGCTGGAGACATTATGACTGTAAGCATATTCAGCTGCTTTGGTTGTTTTGTTTTCTAGTCTTCTCCTCCCTGTTTATGCTACATCACAAAATATACCAAGACATTTAGTTACAATAATGAACACGGTTTCTACCATTTTAGGAATTCATTGACAAAAACAAGAAAAGGGCTTGTGGTATTTGAAAAGAATATATATAGCCCGTGATATAAATTAAGGATATGGCTTTGAACAGATTGAAGTAGGGGAGAGCACGTCCCATAATGCTGACAGATAAATAATTGCCAGAAGCTGTTTCAGTTTGTCACTTTTTAAATTTTATGGAGAAAACAAGAAAAGCATTTGACAATCATTGGCATCCAGTTTTTCGTGATTTTCTCAGTCAATGAATTTGTACTTGTTACAGGTCAATGTTAATTTGGCAGGGCTACCTGCTTTAGTTTTGCCATGTGGGTTTGTTGAAGGGGGCACTGATGGGCTTCCTGTTGGTCTTCAAATGATTGGTGCTGCATTTAATGAGGTATGTAAACATTGTTTTCAACCAACTGCTTCTAGGGAAGTAGAGGGTTTTTTCTGCCAGTCTTTAATTAATATAAAAAAATCACAAAGCAAATCACTAAAGATAAAAATAATGAAATGGAAGATGTGAGGTCCAGCTTACAACTTCCTTTTTCCTTTTTCCACAAACCCCATGATATGAACCTGAAATTATAGACAGGCGAGACATTGCAACAAAACCAGGAATGACTTTTAGTAATGACAAGGTGCTTGATAATTGTCAAGTAATGGTGAGGAGAATAATTCATATTCTAGCAACTTGTTTCATAAAGCTTAACTGATTAAGAATATGTATCCTTGTTTACAACAGAAGATCAGATCCTGTCATAATTCTCTCCTCTTCCTTTAGAATATAAATCCTACCTTCCACTAATAGAGTATGAGTTGGGTAATATATACTCTCTTCTGTGCAGGAAAAATTGCTCAAAGTAGGTCATATCTTTGAGCAGACTCTTCAAGGTTGCAAATTCATTCCTCCATTAATTGCAGACAAGATTGCAGACAGTTACTGATGATAGTTGCGAAGAACGCTGAGGCCTATTACCGTTGTTGCCCATGAACCTTCCTATTGGGAAATTGACAGAGGTTGATCTACTCATACTGTGGCTTAACCTAGCCCTTAGGACTTCTCACAACGTTGTTCCCGTGTCTTGGGCATGTACACATCACATTCTTGTTGTCGTTGAGAATGATGCAATTTGGAATGAAATAGTCTGTCTCCCCTAAAGTGCTGTGGGCATGTATCACTCTAGAATTCTGTTATTTCAGTTCCTGAATGGCCCAAGAAAACAGTCCTGTATTAAGATCTGTTTGCATATGCTGATATACTGATTACTCAGGCCTGTGGTCCTGTGTAAAAATTTTTCATTAGTTTATTACTTGTTCATAAAGTTCAATTTTTACCCCAGGATTTTAATCGGTCATTGAATGGAGGACTCAAATATTTGAGTTCCTTAAATATCTTTTTATGCAAGGGAAATATCCTTCTTTTAAGGACTAAAATGAAAGAAATGTAAACTATAAGCTAAAATTATCAAAATATATATTACCATGAAAAACCCAATTATCTTTACAAAAAATGAAATAAAAACCAAGTTCATAAAGTAGAAATAAGCCATGTAACGGCATAGAATATCAATGATAGGAACCCTTTTTTTTTATTTTTTCATCTTTTACTTTCAACGAAAAATAATTACAACTAAATTATTGACTTAGTTGGTATCAATAATAGAGAACTAAATTACATTATTTTTTCTTGAAAATTCTTTAGTTTTGACATGAAAGATTTGCTTTTTTCTGGATTATTAGATGCTCGAACTGAGTCTCTGCTGCCCTTTTATTGGAGGAAAACCACTTCCCATTGCACCAATTGAGATGTCTTCTCAACTTAAAAATAGGAAACCAAAGCGTTTGGTCACAGCTAGCAAAATACACCTTGTACCTCTTCTTCTGCCTCCCAACAACCGTGCCAACCCACCATCCGTCATTGTCGAACACATCCACCTCCTCCGTACACCAAAACTCGTTAGGCCTCTTCATCAGTGGCGGCAGAGGGCGGAGCTCCTCGGCGGTGACTGTCTCTATCAGCTGCTGAGACATGTCATCCGTCACCAGGTTCTTGTACTGCACTTGGTATTCGCCGCCGTCAATTGGGTTTATAACCGTTGCTTCGTAGTATGAACCCAAGAAGCCTTGTTCTTTGCTGCAAACTTCTACTTTATCTCCTTTCTCGAAGATCGCCATTGTCGAGTATGTGCAAAAGGAAAGAAAGAAAAATACTCACAATCTGAGAACAGAGTAGGGTAGAGCCCATTATTTATATATATACAGGTTTTGATTTCCAAATCTGTTTAGAATCAGAATTACTAATACAGGTTGGTTTAGGACAAGAAATAAAATAACCTTCTTTTTTTTTTCTGCGGTACTACTTCCTTTTTTCCAAGAATTCTTTGTGCCCAATTTCTTAAAGAAAATGGATTACTTCTGGCTCCCGGCAAGGAATTATATATATTTTCCCCTGTTCTACTATTATTTCAAGAATAAATACGAGTATTAAACATAGATAGATTATAGATAATTTCTAAACATTTTGGATTCGGTTTGTCTATAAATGATCACTCTCCAAACACCTCTCCATTCATAAGTTTTGAACTTAAAACATTATTCAAGATAAATCAAATTTTTTCCACCCAAGCCCACATGTCGTTGATATTAACTAAAACTGTGATAGTAATTTTTTTTCTAGGTCTAGCTGATATGCTTTCCATAAAAAAAAAAATTGAGTTAATTCCTAGTTTTTAAGAAACTTGAAAATCTAATAAAATAGATATATTACCGGAGAAATGAGTATGCCACGAGAAAATGCAGTCTTAGCGGGAGAAGTATAGCTCTCTCCTTCATGATACAACTTCTATTACTTCCACTTCAGCTAAAAATATATCCAACTCATGCCTGATAGCATTGATACCATGAAACTCTGATAAGTTAATACAAAATAAATTGAACCTTACATGCATAGCATTTATTTGAACCATCTCCATCTTACAGGCCGGGAAATTTCTACCATGGGCACCATATCCAAACCAACACAAGCCTAAAACACAATATGTAAGCTAAAATCTGAATTAGAAAATTATATCATCATCCTTCTCCATACCTGCAGACAACAGATTGTGTGCTGCACCGAGGGAAACCCCTCTTTCCAAAGAAATCTTCTCTGCAAACTTCTCCTCAGCAAATAGCTTGGCGGAAGCAACCTGTCTCTCGATTTCCCTTTTCTTATAACCTTGTATCTTCTTTAACCTGAAGAAATCCTCTCTTTCAAGCTCATCCAACTCCCCCTTAATATAGCTAATTGTATTCTCCAACCTTGGCTTCACAACATTCTCCAAAGCATTGACCCTACGATTTGTGGTTTTAATTGCCTCGTCAAGTGTCAAGAATGATGTCTGAAGAGAAGCAAGCTCAACAAGAACCTCAATTGCTTTTACATAAGCAGCACGGCACTGTTGGACCTGCTGTCCCCCTCTGGCTAAACCAGTCAGGTCATTCTTTGTCTCACCTTCAGTGAAGTACTCAAACTTGGGAAGCTTCACACCAGCAATGTTCTCCTGTCGTGATCTAACTTTCAGAGATGCATTTTGGACATTCTCAAGGACAATGTGTTTGACGTTATCACCAGCAACATACTTGGCTTCAGTCAGGGAAAATGATGAGGTTTTCATAATCTCGCCCATTGACTCTTTAGTAGAGACTATCTTCTTAAGAATCTGGCGGAATTGCACGGTTAAGGCATCACTTTTCTTCTTGAGAAGAGCATGGCCTCTTGTAGCACCAACAAGCCGGGCTTTCATGACTCCCAACATTGTGACAGTAGGAACCACATTCAAACGCTGACCTTGCCCTGACATCTTTTGCAAATAGCTAAATGACAAAACGATGTAAACAGAGTTAACATTTAACAGGCCAAAAAAAAAAAATGTAAAGAGAATACAGAAAAAAAAAAAATTGATGAAACCTGAAAAGGTCTAAACTAGAACAAAAATAATGAACCACACATTTTCTAAACCCTTTAAGGAAAAAGTAGATAGAAACCTGCTGAAATGTGCTTTTCTCATTCTTCTTTTATGTAAACTAATTTGCAACAAAACTATTAAAATATACTCCAATTACTATCATGAGGGAGGACAATGTAGCAACCAGAGGACAGAAAATTACTCCTTGTCCTTGTCTCCATAAAAACTAGTAATCCCTGACAAGTCAGTGATGCAAAATGCCTGTAAATATTTTTTCTCCAAGGAAATGGGTATCATAAACAAACTAGTTGTGCACTGTGCATGGTATCCTCACAAAAGTTCTACATGGTTTGAAAAATAACAAACAGTTGCAGAGTGCTTGAAAATAGCTACACCCATAGAGTTCTACAGTCCCACTTACATTAAACCTTCAGCAAGTGTTCATTATATTTCAAGGCAACTTCAGAACTTCATATTTCTCCAACAAAAAAACAAAATTTTCCTCCAGTGACCTACCCTTACTTCCTACATCTGTTTCTAGCACCCTAAATTGCCATCTCAAGCCAATCCATTCACTAGACCAGGCTCTTCTACTCAAGGAGTCAGAGCCAAGAGATCTAATCCTACATACAAGGCAAATTATATTGAGGTCAAGCACAATTTGATGGTATAGAGATTGGAGGAACTATGTTTTTCTTTAATGAAGGAAGGCATGAACTTATCAAAGGTGCAGAAGGAATTTTAAAACCAAAGCACATGACAGTATGAATAAAACCTAAAATTCTTTGTGAAACTGAATTTAAACTATTTTTCAAGATTCTTGGAATGGATGTGGAGGGTGGAAGCTCACAAGTACCAAGGACAACAAACTACATTTTATCAGAATGTAAGCATGTCCTAGAAATTGTAAATAAATGGAACTTCAAGATAGATTTGTTCATTTTCTGAGGCAACTGCAAAGTATTGCTATCTAATGAAACATAAAAAGAAAAACAAGAAACTAGTTTGTGAGATGGATTTGTGCAAGTTATAATGGTCACCAGCACTTCAGAACCCAGGGAAACTAGTTTGCAAGATGAAAGACAGGTACATGTTATAAGGTGTACTGGCACCTCTGAACTCAAAGATACAATTGCGCAATTTACTCGTCAATATGAGCTTCTTCTAAGCAAAAATACAGATTCAATGCGAATGATACAGTTTCAAGATCACTTCCAAAGTTGTGAACTTTTGGTTAATTTGAACATAAATGTTTCACTCTAGTGGGCAGATTTCTTTCATAGTGAGGTAGATCAGGAATCATTTTGACACAAGATAAAGTTTCATTCTTCTTGAAAATTTAGGTAAACACAGAACAGCTTCCTAGGCAGCAGATAATACAATTAGTTGGCAGGTAGTGTTTGACTGTTAGTTAAGTAGTGAAGCTAAATGTATAAATAGCAAACGTATACTGATCACGGATCATTGAAGAATTAGATCAATATTTCTCTCTCAAAACACTCTCAATTCCATTATCTCCTTCATGTGTCACTTTGATTCCTGATCTATTTCATCTCCAATTTCCTTCCGGCTTTTCTGAATTTCAACCGATTTCTTCTTAAGAGTCACTCTCAGACTAGGTGAAAACATAATTAATCTCTTGGCATATCAAATTGCCTATCTTATGCTATTTCGCTATCACGGTAGCAAATCCCTTCAGCATCAGATTCAACAAGCTGTTCGATTTGTCGCAGAAAATTGATCAATTAACATTAATTCAACATTAAATGAAGAAAAACAAAGGAAGGCTTACCGGAGGCAGATCTGAGGAGCAGGGATCGGCGGCGAGGCGGGACGGATGGCCGGGATCGGACGCGGGAGGAAGAAGGGAGAAAAGAATAGAAAAAGAGAAAAGAAAAGGGGAGGCGAGAGAGAGAGAGAGAGAGGGAGAGAGAGATTTAATTTTAAACCCATCGAGGAACGACGTCGTTTCCATTTTTGGCTTGGGTAAATGCCAATTTGGGTCCCTCAACTTTATAGTTTTGTACATTTTTTATCTTCAACTTTTTTATGCACTCTTTTGTCCTTCAATCATGAAAAATGAACTTTTTTTTAATTCATTTTATCAGTGAGTTCATTAAATTTGTATATATATATATATAATCTTTTAACTTTAGAAATTGACACAATTTTTGTTTTTCAACTTAAAAATTTAGGGATTAAAAATATATATAAGCAGATTTAATTAATTAACTAATAAAAAGACCAAAAAAATATATTTTTTATAGTTAAAGAGTAAAAAATTTTTTTTGAAAAACAAAAACTATATAAAATTTTAAAGTTGAAAACCAAAATTGACATTTAATCTTTTAACTTCCCATATAGGACTAGGGAGTCTAAAGTGGAAAAATACCAACTAAGCAGATTAAGATTAATATACTTTTTTTTTTCTTCTTTATTTTAATTATTTTATGATTAAAGAGCAATTTGTAAATTTATTTATCCTCATCTTTAAAAAATATTTAAAATTTAATGATCTAAATAACTCAATGATAATCTTATTTTATTAGAAATAAAAGATTTTAAATTCGAATTATATGTCATGTGAGAAAGTGAGATATGTGATAAGAAAAGTTATTTTTTACTGTGTAATTAAAATAAAAAAAATTTAAAAATAAAGATAAACCTTTATAATAGAATAATTAATTAAAATAAATGTATGATAATGGTTAAAAAATAATTATCTATTTTAAAAAATAAAAAACAACAATTGATTTAAAATAAATTTAAAACGAAAATAATAATTGTTTTAAGATGAAAAGACTAACAAGTTAGTATGCAACCTGTATGCAACTTTTTTAGAAAAATGTTTGTATTATGATAGTATTTTTCAAATTTGTAAGTTTTTTAGTTTTAGTAAATTTTTTCTTACACTTTTCTTCTAACACTATTATTAAGTGGTGATAGAAAACAACGTTATACTATCATTTTGGCAACTAAAACTAAACAGGCGTAATAGCTTTCTTTTCATGATTGAAAAGGATAATGATTGGAAGAAAATTTTTTTATATAATTTTACATATTAGTCTATGATTAACGTTTTAAAATTTTATTAAAATTTATAATATTATATATATATCTATTTATTTAATAATATATAATAATATATATAAATTATATAAAAAATTATCAGCATATTACTTTTATGCAAAAAGATCTAACAAGTAAATATGGTGATTGTGTAACTAGCATACGATTAGTGTCTCATGTTTTCCAAACCGGAAACCACTTTAAAAGTGCATCTAATAAATAAATATTCATACTTCTTAAATAATTTAATAATAATTTATTTTTAAAAAAAATAAAAAATTTTAAATTCAATAAGATAAAAGTAATATAAAATAAAAAATAAGAGAGGTTTTTTTTTTCATTTAACCAATATAAAAAAAATAAATAAATATTCGAAATTTTTATTAAAAATTTCGGTATTTAATACGATTTAAATTCTAAAACTGTCCATTATTTGTAAGGGCCCATGAAGGCCATGATCAAAGCCCAACTAAATTCATTCTAATACTAATTGATCTTGCAACTGTTTAAAAGAAGAAGAAGAAGAAAAAAAAAAAGAAAAAAGAAAAGGGAAAAGTCACAAATAATAGGCGTAGAAGAACGGGAGTTAGAAGAGGTATGGAACCTTGAGATTGAT